TTAGGGTTTAGGGTTTAGCATGCATCACTCTTCCGTCAGACAACATTGCGATGTCGTCATGAACCAACTTGGCTGTTTTTGTAAGGGATGCTGTAACTGATTCTATTAAAAGTCCTGCCGAAATTCTGTGCTTGAGAATGCCTGGCCGCAACCATCGGCAACTGGTTGGCTTCCCGCTTTTGATAGCCTGCCTTCGCGCGCATGGGGCGACGGTCGTGGTGGCCGCTTGTCTGAGATTCGCTCGGACGTAAGAGTTGGCAGGTAAGGGTAGAAGTACCTTAATTCAGCGCTTAGTTTGGGAAAGAAGTGAAATATAACTATATATACGTGGTTCCTAAACCGAGCTATTGAGTTAGCCGAGGTCGGCACGGATGCGCCAGTGCACACGACCCTCGAGGGCCATGCTGCCTGGTCTATCGAGTTCGGTGGTGGGGTGAAGCATGGCTATCTGGACGACAGCCGGCTGGTGAACCTCTGCAAAGCACTCGGCCCCTCCATCTTGCGAGTCGGAGGCGCAAGCCAAGATGAGGTGACCTATGACTTCGGCCTTGACCCTCAAGAGGGCACCTTTGGCCCTTCCGACATCGATAAGGTCTTCAGGTTCGCGAACGCCTCCCTAAACCCTAAACCCTAAACCCTAAACCCTAAACCCTAAACCCTCAAGAGATTACCTTTGGCCCTTCCGACATCGATAAGGTCTTCAGGTTCGCGAACGCCACAGGCTGGCTCATCGTATGGGGCCTGAGCTACATGAGGCACCGGGCTTAGCTTTTTTTTCAAGCATATCAAAGCAATACAACTATTGTTTTGTTAGACTTAGGGTCAGTTATAAGGGATAATATATATATATATGCATATATATATATATATAGCCAGCCATAGTTCCTAACATGGGAGCTTTAGACAGCAACAGGGGGGTGAGCTGCAGAAGAGTACGGAACCCCAACTTGGACTCTAAGCAGCAAGATCGTTACATTAGGTTGCCGAAGCCCGCATGATGATGATGATGGCGGTGCTGGTGATAGGGCTATCTAGGGTTTCGGGTTTAGGGTTGCGTCTAGTACTTCTCTGAAAAAGGGAGAACAGGAAGGCGTGTTTTTCCATGAAGACAACATGCATAGGGGCACCTAAATACCCAGAGCCCGAGGAGGATGCAACAAGTAGATCCCTAAAACTTTTGCCAGAATCACAAGGCACCCTTTATTAGTATAGGGTCCCGAATTAGGGGTTCTAC